CCAGCATGTTAATTCTCTATAGTCTCTATAGAGTCATGTGCGTGCGTGTGTGTGTACATCATAGTGTGTACGTATAATGAGTTTTCAATTATTTTAACTTTTTATATTTCATTTTATAATATAATATTTTATGACTTTAAGACCCAGTGAGCCCAGCAACCAGCATGTTAATTCTGTATAGTTTCTATAGTTGTGTGTGTGTGTGTGTACATCATAGTGTATGGACGTATAATGAGTTGCTTGATTTTATCTTTTTATTAGGGCTGTCAAAGGATTAATCGCGATTAATCACATCCAAAATAAAGGTTTGTGTTTACATAATATATGTGGGTGCACTGTATACTATATATATATATATATATATATATATATATATATATATACACACACACATGCTTGTATTTTTAAGAAAAGAATAAAATTTATATATAAAATATTTATATTTATATAAAATATGTTATATATAAATCTATATACAGAAATATTTACATGAAAATATTTCTTAAATACAAGCATGTGTGTGTATTTATGTATATACATATAAAATAATTATACACAGCACACACACATATATTATGTAAACACAAACTTTTATTTTGGATGCGATTAATCGTTTGACAGCCCTACTTTTTATATTTTATTTTATAATATTTTTATTTTATTAATCTTCTTTCCTGATTTATATAAGAAGAGGGGCTTCTCTATTCTGTTTTTTAATTTCCAAATTTATATTCTCATTTATTAAGCAAAATGATTATTATCTTTTGATTTATTCTGTTATTTATTTTGATTATTCAATTTGTATTTTAATAATTCCGTTTGAATCCGTTTTAATCAAATTAAATTAATAAATTAATAAATTAATCAAATTCTATTATTATATATAATAAAGTTATCTAAAATGATATATGATAAAGTTATATTTTATTCTGATTCAAATAATAATTATAATTTATTAATTGATTCTCTTTTTTATTCTAATTTCTAAATGTATGTTTTGATTATAAAAAAAAAGCTTTTTTATAAAATTATTTTAATTTAAGTGTTTCTTCAGTCAATTGTGTTCTAAGTAAGTCTATTTCCCATAATTTCGAGATTCTCAGTGTCCATTGGTTACTAATCTCCAGTTTTAAAACCCGGATCATGTGACGTGTAATCTAAACTCAGCTTTCACTCGTCTGCATCAGTCCCTCTCTGTATTTGAATAACAATTACACCAAACACACGAGGACTAACGAGCAACACAGCCAGGTGTGCAGAAAACCTGGAGAAAGTGCGAGAGAACGAAACGGAGAGGGGAAGACGGAGACAAAAGCACTCTGAAAGGCAGGAGCGAGTGTGAGATAAAGTCTGATAATGCAGATTGAATGTCTGGAGTGGAGAGGCTCTTAATGAATCGTGATTGACAGTCACTTTGAGATCCCGCTCGGTTCCCAGGACACTCGGTTCCCGTCCATAGCGACCGCTTTAGAGCTCCTCTCAGACATTCATCTTGTCTTCTCTGTTTGTCCGGGTAAAGAAACACATTGTAGACCCGCTCTCGTCCTGTCTTTATTTATCTTTCTTTAACTAGAGAACTGCCCGGTTCTCCTCACTTGATCCCAAAAGCTCATAACCAAGCTGTGCTCAGAATTATTAAGGACTTCAGATAAAGATTTTAAAAGTTATTAGTTAACTAGCGATGCTGAAAAATAAATAAATAATTGAATAATTCATTTTCAGCTTTCATTTTATTCTTAGTAATTTTGTTTTGTAAATATTTTTTATATATTTTTTTATTATTTAATTTTTTTTACAACAACTTCTACTTCATGTCTATATCTAAGCATTTAATTTAAAATATTTTCTTAGAATATTATTTATTTTTGCTTCATCTCAAACAATTTTTAATTTAATTTCAGTTAACAATGACAGCGCAGGGTTGAACCGTCTAAAATGCCTAGTTTTACATGGGAAATGCTGGTTTTTACTTCCACAAGCAGGTTAAATTTGAAATTTTTAACTTTAATATCTCATGTTTCTCATAGATTAGGGGATTTTAATCTTAGTTCTTCTGTATCTCAGTATAATGACCCCAGTTATCTTGTGTTTCATACAAGATCTCAATAACGTCTCTAAGATTTGCCAACATCTGCAATCCAAAGTCAAAGATCTCAATATGAACTGTAATATTTCTCATCAAACATTTTTAGTTTGAGCAATATTTTTTGCATTTTCCCTCTAAAGCTCTTCGTTTGATGGTCAAAATTAACAAAATTGGAAATGATTGTACTATATTTCCGTCCAATAATGTTTTTATTTAATATTTTGTATTTTTAGGGGATTTTATGGTATTAATTTATATTTATGTTGGAGTTATAATCCATTTATTCACTTTTTGAGCATTACATTTCCAGATTAATCTGTCTTAAATCTTGCTTTGAAGAAATCAGTTTGGTCTCTTTTTAAAGACGACACGTGGCAGATCATTGCTGAAGTGAAGCAATACAAAAAGTTGCACAAAAAGTTGAACTTAGAGTTGCACAAAAAAAATGAAAAAATATATTTTTTAATTAATTTTCCAAAAAAAAACTCAAAGCCATCAATCTAAACAAGCTTTGCACCAAATTTGAGGTCATTATCTCAAAAAATGAGCTTTCGGTGAGATATTGTTTGGCCGCAGTATGGAGTTAAAACTGTGCCATAATTACACAAACAAATCCAGCATTTTGCAAACAAACTCGATCTGCTTTGCAAAGGAAAATCGACTCGCAAACAAACAGAAATGTGCAATGAAATGTGCGAAAATACAGTGGATGAACACATATGCATTGTGTTTTGCAAATATAAATTAATACATATAAATAAATACATGTAACCTTTGAACAAATACCAAATCTCGTGCATACAAATGCATATCAGTCTGTTATGATTGTGACACTTGGCTTTTTTCCTTTGAGTTTGTTTGTAAAATGCTGGATTTGTTTGTTTAATTATGGCACAAAATTAACTCCATAGCTGCAGTACCAAAAGCTTCCACTAGTTGATATCCGTTTCCCATTAATTTCCAATACATGTGTGAGTTTTTTTCAGGACCATTTAACCTTTTTGAATCATGGCCATGATTTTTTTTTGTTTACACAGCAAGTGCCAAAATCTATGTTTGAAGTAAAAAAAAAAAAAAAGTCAGCACAAGTGCCCAAACCACACCGTACACTGGTAAGTTTAAGCACCAGCTGGACTGGGTTGTCTGGTCTACCTATTTTTGCTGCATATGTGTAGTACTCTTTATCTGAGTTAACGAGATGTTCCCCAAAGTAAAGTGGGAGGGGCTTAGCGAACAGGAAGTGATGCGGATGAGAGCCACAACGCACAGATGGTCCCAGTGACTCAGCCGGCGTGACGTCCAAAAAGCTTAACGCAAAACCCACAACCACATGTGATGCTCAGTGGGTTGTGTATGCCAATGGTTTTCATTTGTCTGTTCCCATGTCTCTCTCATGTGTTTTCCTGAGCTATTTACATGGTGTGATTATGTCAAGGTTGTCCGTGTGGGAGAATAGCGCTGGCTTCGTCCCGCTGTAAGTCTTTGTGTGTCTCTAGTACTGCTCATCCGGGCATGAAGGTCCCAGCTGTATAGGAGAGACACAGGGAGTCCTTCACCAACCGGGCCGGCTGCCCACAAACACTTGACACCGGTGCGCCGAGAGCCTAGAAACAGCTCTAATGAGTGTGTGAATGTGCACGTGAGTGGATGTGTGTGAGGAACATTTGTAATCATTTACAGTGAAGAATTTAATCAGTAATCCAGCTTAATTTTCTTCTAGTCACTTTGGGATAGTTTGTCGTCATTTACTCACCCTCATGTTTTTCTGAGCACAAAAGATGATATTTTAGAATGACTAGATTTTTTTTCCCAGTATATTGTGAAAGTCAATGGGGACCAAAAACTTTTTGGTCAAACAATTTTAATGCATGACTTTGAGGCAAAGAACAGCCCGACATGAAGCAGAGTGCTTTAAAATTGTTTAATGCCCAGCTAGCTGTATATTTTCCCACTTATACCATGGTCATTTGACAGTATTGACAATTTAAAGTCTCCCAGTAGTCAATTTTATCTCTTAAAACTTATCTTTGATCAACAAAATTACATATTTATTATTTCTTTTTATATTATTTATTATTACTTTATATATATATATATATATATATTATTTATTTATTATTATTAGTATTATTCTTTTATTTTTATCTGATTGAGAGCTACGGGTCGCCTTAAGGGCGGTTGGTGAGGGTCTATATTGATACTGAACTGTTTTGTTGATTTATTTAATTATTTATTTATTTATTTTCTCTCTCAGACACCTGGTTTCATTGTACTTTTGTTGTAGCACCCTCTGTATAGTTACAGAAAACCTAATAAATATTAAAGAATTTACATATTTAAGCGTTTTTTCCTTGAAAACACATTCTTCAGGCCTTAAAATATCTTGAATGTAACTCGACACCCTTGCCTCATGTGGTTCTATGAATATGCAAATGAGCCCCGCCTCTACTCACTCCCTCAGCTCAGAGATCCACTGGTTGGTGATCACACGTTGATCTGATTGGTTACAAGGTTTGGTTCACTGCAATTTTAAGGAGAAAATACTCAGCAATGCTGTCGATTTAGAAATTTACACATGATTCGTCTTAAAGCATATTAAAAACACCACATAGACATGAACAACATTAAATGCTTGATTTTCACCGTTTTATTTGGTGTTTGTTAAGGCAAGAATCACTTTTGACTTGAACTAGTGAGAAACCACCCCTAACACTCACTATAACACCATATAGAAACATCACAACACTCAAAACACCTTACAGCAATGCAACACCCTGACAAGCAATGTGCTAAAACAACATCCCATCATGCATTGCATTGCATTGCATGCATGCAAATCTTCTATGCATCATTATTTAATGTGTTTTTATTTAATCTGAAAAAAGGCAACGCTTTATTTTTATTGTTCTCTCAGATCCAGACTACACCGTTGTGCTAAACTCATCTGTGAACGCAAAGTTCTTCGGCGACCCGACGGAGCTGGAATGCAAAGTTACAAACGTGTCCAATCTTCGTAGCGGACGACTGGGAGTGTCGTGGCTTTACAGAGACGCTGTTCCCGGTGTCGCTCCAGTATCTACTCACACCATCGCGTCGTTGGATGAGAACGGGACCCTCGTGCCAGGCAAGATGTACAAGAGTCGCATGGAGGCGGGGCTTATTACAGCGACCAGGGCGGAGCCTTCCACATTTAAGCTCCGCCTCCTTCACACGACGGACGCCGACGCTGGAGAATATACGTGTGGCGTAACGGCGTGGATCCCGACTCGTCACGGGAACTGGAAAAAGGTCGTGGAGCATTTGACCCCTGCTCTTAAAGTCAGCTTTGCTAACAAGCGTAAGTGTGCATGCATTAAAACGTGTATGTAATCTTATAGGGGTTTTGCACGCTTTACTAAGACTAAACACGTGTTTAGTTAGCTCTGCCTCTGTATTTAAAATATCAAGGTAACACTTTACAATAAGGTTCATTCGTTAACTTAACATTAGCTAATGTATTGACTAACAAGAACTGACAATTAACTAAACATTTGTTTCAGTGTTTATTAAAGGAGTAGTTCATTTTTTTTTTTAAACTTTTGCTGATAATTTACTCGCCCCCATGTCATCCAAGATGTCCATGTCTTTCTTTCTTCAGTCGAAAAAAAATTAAGGTTTTTGATGAAATCATTCCAGGATTTTTCTCCATATAATGGACTTCAATGGGAACCAAACGGTTCAAGGTCTCAGTGCAAACTGTTCAAAGGGCTTTAAACGATTCCAGACGATGAATAAGGGTCTTATCAAGCGAAACGATCGCTCATTTAATAAATAAATAATAAAGTTTAAGTTTTATAAGCTCAAATGCTCGCCTTGCTCTGTTCTGTGATGAGCGTTCGTGACTCTCCTGTTCCAACTCATTCATCAAATGAACGAATCTTTTTTCATGTCATTTGGTTGATTCAACGAAAGAACAGGAGAGTCACGAACGCGCATCACAGAACAGAGCAAGGCGAGCATTTGAGCTTATAAAACTTAAACTTTTTTATTTATTTATTAAATGAGCAATCGTTTCGCTTGATAAGACCCTTATTCATCGTCTGGAATCGTTTGAAGCCCTTTGAACAGTTTGCACTGAGACCTTGAACCGTTTGGTTCCCATTGAAGTCCATTATATGGAGAAAAATCCTTAATTTCTTTTCGACTGAAGAAAGAATGACATGGATATCTTGGATGACATGGGGGTGAGTAAAAGTTTTCTTAAAAGTGAACTACTCCTTTAATGTTAGTTAATAAAAATACAGCTGTTCATGTTATATATTTATGTCATATCAAACATACACGGGTCTAGTTTGCCTCAGACCCCTGTGATATCGCAGCTCAAATGTTCACGCTTCTATTCTGGTCTGACATCTGACATCTCAGCTCATTGATTTCCTGCATCATTTCTATAATTACCTGAACGCAATACATGTATGCACAGAAACATTTGCACTGGTTGACTTCAACCAGCAACGTCTTCTGTAATGGAGAAGTCTGTTTCACGAGGAGGCACAAATGACGGCGTGTGTATTATATTGTGATGTGTTTTGCGAGCTGCTGGACTGATGCACTTCTCCACAGGGTGCAGTTTATTCTGACATGCTGTACGGTTATGTTCAGGACTGTTGCTGCTCAAAGTTACACAGCTGCAATTGCAGCTTTAATGACCTCCAAGAACATTTGGCATAATTTTACCATTATCGAATATTGTCGCTCACATATTGGGACACTTTTTCATATTCCTAGAGACTTGGCAATAAATTGTCTTATGTAACACAAGACCAATAACTTTCTTTCACAGAGAAGACATGGTTGGCTAAGTTTGTCTCAGATGTTTCTCCTTAAATGCATTAGGAGAAATAAACAGAGGCCTGAATACATGCTAGTAGCACAAACAATAATAATGATAATCATTTATATTATTATATTCATTTATTTTATCATTATTATAATACTTAATTATTTTATTATAATAATTTATATTATTATATTCATTTATTTAATCATTTATATTATATTATTAATTTGTATTATTGTTCATTTTAAGATTTATTACACATTTATATTTTCGTTTTGTAAAATAATAATAATAATTATTTTTTTTAAATATGTATTAGTATTTATATTATTAATATTATATATTACTATAATAATAATATACGTATTTATTATTATAATTATAATATAAATAATAATCACATTTAAAGATGTATTATTATTTATATTAGTATTATTATACTATGATTGTTATATTTTAATTATTATTATGTTAATACTGTTATGTTTATTTATTACTTATTATTATATAAATAATAATAGTCACATCATTGATAATAATCATGATATGATTTTATTATAATTCTAATATAAATAACAATCACATCATTAATATTATTATTATTTAGTAAAAAAAATATGTATTTTAACTTTATTACACTTGGTGTATCATTTGCATTGTATTTACTGTTAATATTTAGTGCTTGTAGCCAATATATAATATATCCAATATGGATTGCAGCTCAGCTCTTGAGTTAAGCGAATATGAACAGTATATACCACCTCATGTATAGACATTCAAATCTCCATGTAATCTCATTCCTGGATGAACTGTTGAGATATTAATAATGAGATGTGTTTTGCAGGTCCTGTTCTCGGGGTCGTAGCCCGTCGTCTCCGTGAAGCTACGGCCACTGGCTCCACGTTTGAGATGAGCTGCCAGGCTAATGTTCAAAACCTCCCGCCGGGAACCACGTTCTCCATCCTGGTCCTGTCCGAGGAGGCCGTCGGGTCTCCCAGCCGCAAGCTGGCCTCGCTGGGCCCGGAGACGGTCCTCCAGCTGGAAGACCGGCGGGACGGCCTGATGCTGGTGAAGACCGGGAAGAGGGACTTTCAGTTTCGGATCCAGCCGGTCCAGGAGAGCGATCGCGGCTTCTACTCCTGCGAAATCAAAGCCTGGACGAAGCAGGCCGGGGACGACTGGGGCGAGATGGCCAAAGGAGTGTCCAATAAGGTTCAGGTCGCTTTCGCTCACAAAGGTAGAGAATGATTTCTGAAGGATCATGTGACACTGAAGACTGGAGTAATCTCAGATTGATCTCAGAAATAAATTACACTTACTATATATTCACATTAAAAACAGTTATTTTTGTAATAATATGTCACAATATTACTGTATTTGTAATTTTATAAATATATAATGCCACTGTATTTGTATATATATATATATATATATATATATATAATGATTGATATCACATATAAAACAGTTATTTTGGTAATAATATGTCACAATATTACTGTATTTGTAATTTTATATATATATAATGCCACTGTATTTGTGTGTGTGTATATATATATATATGAAGAGTTCAGATGCAAAAGCCTCTAAATGCCATTTGAAATTTTCTTCTTTAATGATGATTTTCATCAAACTTGCATATTTAAGTTCAGTAATTTCACTTAAATAACAATTAATAGGTAATTATCATTGTCATTTAAGTGAAATCACTGAACTTAAATATACAAGTTTGATAAAAATCATTAAAGAAGAAAATTTCAAATGGCATTTAGAGGCTTTTGCATCTGAACTCTTCATATATATATATATATATATATATATATATATATAATGATTGATATCACATATAAAACAGTTATTTTGGTAATAGTATGTCACAATATTACTGTATTTGTAATTATATATATATATATATAATGCCACTGTATTTGTGTGTGTATATATATATATATATATATATAATGATTGACATCACATATAAAACAGTTATTTTTGTAATAATATGTCACAATATTACTGTATTTGTATTTGTATCATATACACTGTAAAAAAATATTTGTTATCACAACATATTTTCTTTTGTCAAATCAACTTTATAATAATTTATTTAGTTGAGATAACTTATTATTTTGAGTTTCTGATGATTAAATTAATCTCCTTTATTGTATTAACTCACTTTTTCCAGTTCAATGAACTTAAGATTTTAAGGCAACCAGGTTACTTACTTTTTGTAAGTTAAACCAACAATATTTTTTTACAGTGTATATATAATGCTCAGTATGCTTTAATATGTCAATCTTATAAGACTGGAATGATGCTATTTTCGTCCTGTTTTAAAGGTCCCACGTTTGATGTGTCCATCAGTTCAGACACCACGAGTGTTTTCCCCTGGGAAACGGCTAAGATGGTGTGTGACGTCAGTGTGAGCGGCACGTCTCCCAGTACAGGCGAGTGCACATACACACACCTGAACATACACACGTTAATGCTCATTATGAATTGCTTTACACTGCAAGTGTAAAATTAATCTCAGTTGAATTAATTTTAAAGTGAAGAGTCTTGTTAGAGTCATGTTTTAAACATAAGAAAATAAACATAATTCAGTATGCAATATATTTATATCTAATGCAGTTTTGTTTCTCAATTAAATCGATCTTGTTGGGAAGATTTCGATATATTGTAATTGATTTTCTCTTTATCTAGCAAAGATCTTTATAAAAATACATTATTAAAGGCATATATGGTTTCTCAAACCTTCATAACTATGTTAAATTTTCACCTTTTCTTCTACTGTATAGATATATATAATATATCATTGACGTTTCAAGCATTTATTGATGGTGAACTATGGAAGATTGATTCTGCCACAGAATAAAAAGTAAAAAAAACGTAACTGCTATTTTTAATCTCACAATTCTGACGTTATTTCTCGCAAAAATGAGAAATAAACTCACAATTCTAGCTTTTTTCTCAGATTTGTCAGATATGCATATTACGTTTACGTCGCAATTACGTTTTTTATTCTTAATATCCATATAAAAGGAAGCATTATAGTAAAAACAGTAAATTGACGAGACATTACAGTAGTTCAAATCTATTCATATCATGCCATATTCCAGCTATTTCTCCAAGCTTGGCTCATGCTGACTGTTTTTAAACACACATTACACACTATCAGCTTCAAAAAAGCTGAGATAGATCATGCAAACCCTGTTCTTGTGATGTTCACACACACATCGGCCAAAACCAGCAGCTTCACGGCGAGAGCGAGATGAGGTTTCTGCAGATGTGCTTGTGTTTGCGTGTCTAATCTTTGTTCCAAAAACAAGCGTAGAAATATGAAACTAGAGCTCTCTTTGAGTTCTGCACGTCCAAACCGGTTTGTTGACATCAAGCGGGAGTTTCTACCACACAATCCTCACTTTATTCGGTTTTATTCACAAACCCTATAAGATCAAGCTCTTTTGAGTCATATGACACACGTACGTACTGTACTTTACTGTTGATTTATCACCCATTTCACTTCCTTTAGGTGTCTGATGCATCATTACTCTATGAAAGAGTGTTCACAGTGTTAGAGTAAATGGAGAAATATAGACTTACAGTCTCAAAACTGACTTACAAAACTGTTTTGTTTTTGTGTCTGTGTCACAGTCACAACCTCTTATAACCACAATGTTTAACAAAGTGAACTAGATGCACAACATCATGTACTTTAATTTATTACTTGTGATGCACAATCATTTAGCATGAGCTTTTACAGTTTTAATATATATGAGATTGACTTTTTTAGATTTCCCATTTAAAGATTTAATGAATTTTTGTCTGTTATTGTCATTTTTAGTAGTTAGTTGTAGGGATGGGCAATGATTAATCGCGATTAATCGCATCCAAAATAAAAGTTTGTGTTTGTGTGGTGTGTGTATAATTAATTTGTATATATAAATACCACACATGTATGTGTATATTTGAGAAAAATGTGCTATTAATATATCAAATATTTATATTTTATATAATATTAATTATGTATAAATATATATATATAAAGTATATACATTTCTTAAATATATACATGCATGTGTGTGTATTTATATAGACTACACACACATATATTATGTAAACATAAACTTTTATTTTGGATGCGATTAATCGTTGCCCATCCCTAGTTAGTAGTGGATTTAGTTATTGAAGTACAAACCGTCAGTATTTATTTTGCAATAATATTCGACTGGCTGCTCAATATCATGTATATGTAATTCTATAGAGGTCTTCAGTTTTGTAGTAGTGGTTTTAGATTTGTTTTATTGTGAGCGTACACATATTTAAAAACGTTAATATTTACTTAAGTCAACTTGCTTTTTGAAATGTAAAAAAAAATTAAGAAAATATTATATAACTAAAGTGAAAGTCTAATGTTTTTTTTAGCATTAATTTTAACATTTTAAAGGTTATTTTAAAAGTGATTAACATTTCACTGACGTTTGATGACGTATTTGATAATATTTGTAACCTGTTGAAGGATAAATGTTGGTCGAAATGAGGAAGTAACTGATATTAATCAGGATGTTACTGGAAGCGGGTCCGGACGTGTCTGCGCTTGTGTTTAATGGCAGTACTGATGTGGAAATGAATGTTTAATGTTGGGAAAAAGACTTCATTAACTGATGTCATGTGAAACTGGGTCACCCAGTGTGTGTTTTTCAGCATGCACTAACATGTCACACTGCATCAAGTGAAGATCAAGACATCATCCTCATATATTATACATTTATAGTGTAGAAATGCATAAATAGTCATTTATGAGATGTAATACGTCTCAATTCTTCCCAGAATGTGTCTGCAAAGTTTCAGCATCCCCACAGATCATGTTGTAAATATGGAGGACCAAACCTATAAAAGCTAAAAATGAATACATAAATACATGAAATGTAAAAATAAAAAAAATTCATAAATTACTATTTATACTTTATTTCCCTATTTATGTACATTATATATGTTCCCTCATTAGCATACAGAGCAAGACATGTATAAATAAATAAATGAATAAATAAATGTAGATGTAAATGCATATATACATAAATAAAAGTGAAAATAAATAAATGCATAAATAAATAAATGAAAACATAAATGAATGTGGGAAAATATTTAATTACACATAAATATGGAAATAAAAGTATATTTCTTTGTGTATTTTTTTTTATTTATTCATTTTTTAATTTTTATAGTTTTGGGCCTCCATGTTTACAGCGTGATCTGTGGGGACACTGAAACTTTGCGTATTTATTTATTTATGTATTCATTTAAAATTTTTATAGGTTTGGTCTTACATATGTAAATTCCCCTTTTTGGGTGGAAGGAAAAACATGCCATTTTAATCTTTAAATGCAAATGAGCTTCTGCTCCGCCCCCTTTCCAGAAGAGGGCGGAGCCTCGGACCAAAGCTGTTTGTTTTTTATTATAATCTCTCTTGCGCTCACGTGACCGTACAGTTTCATCATCACGAAAGTTCATATCTGCATGCGTCTAAACTTCAGATTTTCTGAGCGCACACATCCTAAACTTAATATACACACTTTATGTACTTAAAATGAGCATTTCATCTTATTTCAGATTTATTTATACAATATTATAGTATTTATTTATATTTAGCTTTTATTTTTATATTTTCAGTTTTAGTTCATGTAATTCTTATAAGGTTTTGTATTTGTTTTTAAATATATATTTAGATTTATTTCAGTTTTTTGTCATTTTAGTACTTCTACTTGTTGCCAAGGCGACAGTTCTAATTTTTTTAATTACGTTTAAAATTTACGTTTTTCATTGAATACTTTTTCCCTCTTTATTTCAGTTAATGAAAACAATTTTAATTTTAGCTAACACTTACAAGGACCAAATGAGATCTTTTTGTCTTTTATGGGTTTTCTTTCCTGTGCGCGTGTGTTTATGAGCCTGTGTGTGTGTGTATATGACAGTATTATCATGTCACGTTGAGATTAAAGTGTGGCAGCTGAAATCCGAACAACTGTTTTCCTGGAGACACATTCTGCCGTGTTATGTTATCTGTAAGAATGCTTTAACTTGTTGTAGTCTATCATTCGTCTATTAGCTCTCATTGGCTGCTGCTTGATTCTGTCCTCAGGCCAGAGTCTTGCGCATCAGTACCAGTGTAATCTCAGGGGATGAACAGCATGCACTTCCCCTCGGCGGTGGCTCTTCATAACCATCTTTGCTGTTCCAGAAAAGAGCAGGTTCTAGTCCTCCGTCTGTGTCTCTATCAGCCTTTGCTCCTTCCTTCAAACATGCTTATGATATACCGTGGGTTCAAAGTGAAAATCTACTATCAATTTGCGCAGTCGGTCAGATTTCGGCGCTTCCATTGAAGCTCAAGAAGCTGATTGTCGGATCTGAGATCATGCTGGTGAACAGGATCCTCAGGTTTTAAATATTAAGAAACAATTATAATTTTTAAAGTAATCATGAAATTCCGTATTTACTTCTCAGTGATTTTTTTTTTTATCATAAATTGATATATTTTTAGCATGTGTTTTGTTTCTAATTTTTTTATCTTCATCAGATTTTAAATAAGAAAAGGATAATGAAAGTAGTTTCTAAAGGTATAACATTTTTATTTAATAGAAAAAATAGTTTCATTATTTTTAGTTTTTTAATATTTTAAGAAATTTTATTTATTGATCGGGATTTAATTAAATATTAAAGTAAAATAAAGTAATTTGGAAAATCATGATTTATTTATTTTTAAGTCACTTTATAAATTTTTTTTTACTCAATTGTTTTAATATACATAATATATATTAACATATTTTCTACACTTGATATTTTGTTTTTAATATTTGTTAAATAAATTTAAAACAAACAAAATAAATGTTTTTCATTTTAATCAGATTTTTTTGAATGAAAGTGTATTTATTTTTCAGCTGCATTGTTACTCATTGTCAAAGATATAACATTTTTATTTAATAGAAAAAAATATTTCATTATTTTTAGTTTTTTAATATTTTTTGATCAGGATTTAAATATTAAAGTAAAATAAAGTAATTAGGAAATTCAGCATTTATTTATTTATCAGTCACTTTTTAAAATGTTTTTACTCCATTGTCTTAATATATGTATAATCTACACTTCATATTTTCTTTTTAATATTTGTATTTATTCTTAATTAATTTAAATATTTTGCTTTTTAAATTTTTTCATTTAATTTAAATCTTGTTAGTGAATTTTTTCAGTGCAATAAAATGAGAAACTATCTACGAATCAAAAAAGTATCAAATTTCAAAAGGACTTTTGAAATTATTATATTCATTATATGTTAACTTTATAATTTTGTCTCAGCGAAAATGTGTTTGAATAGGCCTTAACATCCGGAAGTCTCTCATGTGCGTTTAGACAGAGGATTCACAAAATCTGTGACCCCCTGTGCAAATCATTTGGGTTGAGCACATTAAATTGAATGGCTTTTCACTATTTATAAGTCCCTCAGGCCAGATGTGTGCGTGTGTTCGTCAGCTCATATCCCACAATGCCTTGCTGTGACCTCGTCCGCTCCTTTCCCACAAACTCTATCAACTGCGCTCCAACCCTCTCCTCATTATTCTGAGTCCAGTTCCAAACACATTAGTTCAGGATAGAGACGGGATGGAGATCGTAGCATTTCTGCTTGAGAGCGTCTCGCTATCTCAAACGCGAGGGAATGACTCGATACGTCATGAAGATTAAACCTTGCTATTACTGGAAGAGTTGATCATCCACCGATTAGATGCAGTCCTCGAAAATGTGTTTTGCTAAGGCGAGCATCACTGGTGCTAGTGCTCATACTAGAACAAAACCCCGTCACATTTATGATTTCCACCTGCTAGACATTAAACCCGGTGATTAAATGCCACAGATATACATCGAAGGACGGTGAAATTACATAGCAACAAGATATTTTTTCATTTTAACATTCACATCACTCGCAAACAGTCATCTCTATAAATGAGGCGGTTTGGCGTCCAAGGATTTCTCGTAGCACAATAGCAGCCTGGTCAAACATGAGCTTATAATTAACCGCATTACCCACAATCCTCTGACGAATCCGCAGAATAACTGTAATTAGCAGGATATCGAATATGACTTAAATCTATTGCACTCCAGGTCAGTGCACTTTTGTTCTCTGTACATCTTTATATATTCATCACAGGATTAAAAAAGATCACCAATGGAATCTTTAATAATTCAGTTGTTTCAGATGTTTCTCCTGAACAAAAGACTCCAGTAATCTCACATGCATCTCGTCCTCAGCTATGTGCTCACATTACGTCTTAATTTATCAGTTATTGACTAATTTATGTCTGTTTTTTTTAAAGATATAATTGAGGAGAAACGTCTGAGATCAAGTTGATTCTTAAAAGAAGCATAACTGGGATTTCCATATCATTCCCTCCCTCACTCACTCACTCAGTCATTTACTCACGAACTCACTTAGCCAGTCATTTACTCACTCACTCATTCATTTACTCACTCACTTACTCACTCAGCCATTTACTCACTCACTCAGTCATTTACTTAGTCACTCACTCACTCACTCAGCCATTTACTCACTCACTCAGTCATTTACTCACTCACTCAGTCTTTTACTCACTCAGTCATTTACTCACTCAGTCACTCAGTCATTCACTCAGTCACTCACTCACTGTCTTTTTCTCACTCACTCAGCCATTTACTCACTCACTCACTCACTCACTCACTCACTCACTCAGTCTTTTACTCACTCACTCACTCACTTATTCAGTCAGTCAGTCAGTCAATCATTTACTCACTCACTCACTCACTCACTCACCTACTCACTCAGTCATTTACTCACTCACTCACTCACTCACTTACTCACACAGTCATTTACTCACTCATTTACTCACTTACTCAGTGATTTACTCACTCACTCAGTCAGTCTTTTACTCACTCACTCACTCAGTCTTTTACTTACTCACTCACTCACTCACTTATTCAGTCAGTCAGTCAGTCAGTCAGTCAATCATTTACTCACTCACTCACTCACTCACTCACCTACTCACTCAGTCATTTACTCACTCACTCACTCACTTACTCACACAGTCATTTACTCACTCATTTACTCATTTACTCACTTACGCAGTGATTTACTCACTCACTCACTCAGTCTTTTACTTACTCACTCACTCACTCACTTATTCAGTCAGTCAGTCAGTCAGTCAGTCAATCATTTACTCACTCACTCACTCACTCACCTACTCACTCAGTCATTTACTCACTCACTCACTTACTCACTTACACAGTCATTTACTCACTCATTTACTCATTCACACAGTCATTTACTCACTTACTCAGTGATTTACTCACTCACTCACTCAGTCTTTTACTCACTCACTCATGCACTCAGTGCTTTACTCACTCAATTACTCAGTCAGTAATTTACTCGCTCACTAACTCACTCAGTAATTTACTCTCTCACTTACTCACTTACTAACTCAGTCATTTACTCACTCACTCAGTCAGTCAGTCACTTACTCAGTCAGTCAGTCAGTGATATACTCACTTATTTAGACAGTAATTGACTCACTCACTCGCAGACTCACTGAGTCACTCACTCATGCACTTATTTATTTATGCATGCATTTATTTAGCCTTTTTATTTGTTTATTCATGCATTTACTTATGGATCTATTTATTTTTATTTATGCACTTATATATTATTTTATGCATTTTATTTATCCATTTCATTATGTGTGCATTTATCTAGTATTGCATTTATATGAATTATTCTAGTAAAACTTGTGCATATTAGTTGTAAATATAATTTGTGTAGTAGTTTTAGGGTTTACAGCGTTCTGTTGTCATAGCAAATATATTGTAAAATTGCATTCAAGTTTCCTGAGCTATAAAGAGCGATAACATTTTCTTCTAGGTGAAGCTCCTGTAATGCTTTGGTCCTTTTTTTTTCTTTCCCTCATTTTCTTAGTTTTTCCACTCGTCTTCCCCACTTTGTCTTCCTCATCTGTGTAAGACCGTTGTAAAGGTCTTTGAGTCAGCGCGTGGGTTTGACAGCAGTGGGCCGTCATACAGTCAGTCTAATTGCTAGTTTGAGACCATCATGGCTTTATAGTCGTCGCTTTCACTCTTTCTCTCCACAGAGCCAGCTACATCTGTGCATTTCGTTGCCATTCCAGTGACGGAAGATGGAAAGCGTTATTTTTATAGGACATGCCACATCTTCTAATTGATCTTGGGTTCTTTGAACCAGTATGTGTTAGTGAGGGGAAAAGACTTTTGCTAGAAATGAAGCCGAAAGATTTGCTATTTGATGAGATCTTGGCACGACCTCCATGGTAATAAGCTAACGCTTCTCAGAGGAAAGGGTTTTTGGAGATTTGCAGTCCTAAAAATATGTCCTCGTTGGTATTTTTGAATCTAGTGGCATTTCTTTGCTCCACAGCGAGGTAGATTAGAAACTTAATATCTTCTTGTGACATAAGGTTATTGTAGAGGAAAAAAACGCATGCCACAATTTTTAATTCGATGTTGCTTTGTAACTAAATTCACAAGGTCCCTAAGCAGTGTTCACTATACTTTCTGCACACTGAGGAGAAGATGAACACCTCTTAAAAAAGTATATTCCAGGTTTAACTCAAATTAAGCTGCTTTATGTATGCATGTGCTGTATGTATTTATGCATTTATTTACACAGATTTTTAAAATGCATTTATTTAACCAAATTTAATTACATACTTTTTTACAGTCAATTTAGCATTTAAAGGAGTAGTTCACTTTTAAAAAAACTTTTGCTGATAATTTACTCACCCCCATGTCATCCAAGATGTCCATGTCTTTCTTTCTTTCAGTCGAAAAGAAATTAAGGTTTTTGATGAAAACATTCCAGGATTTTTTTCCATATAATGGACTTCAATGGGGACCAAACGGTTCAAGCTTATAAAACTTTGTTATATTTTTTTTTAAATGAGTGATCGTTTCGCTTGATAAGACCCTTATTCATCGTCTGGAATCGTTTAAAGCCCTTTGAACAGTTTGTAGTTTGCACTGAAACTCTCTTTTGGACCTTGAACCGTTTGGTCCCCATTGAAGTCCATTATATGGAGAAAATCCTGGAATGTTTTCATCAAAAACCTTAATTTCTTTTCGACTGAAGAAAGAAAGACATGGACATCTTGGATGACACGGGGGTGAGTAAATTATAAGCAAACGTTTTTTTAAAAGTGAATTACTCCTTTAAAGCATTCTCTTGTCATGGCAATATTGTTGTAAAATTGGATAAAACTCAGTAAGCAATGTTGTCACTCTAAAATTGTGTTTGCAGATTGGCACCTTTCACTTCCATTGTATATCATTCACTGTCATCCAGATTTGATCTGATTTGGAGAAAAAAAGCCTATTTTTAGCTTAACTTTCCTTTAATCGTGGTAAAACACCCTTTCATAGCTTACTGCTTTATTTTGCAGTGCGTATGAATGATAATTCTGTGATTTCTTCCCCGTTCAGATGATGTAGTGTACGAGATGAAGTGGTTCCTGGGTCGTCTGAGGGGTTCCAGCAGCCAGACCCTGTTAGCCAGCATGGACCGCTGGGGCGTCGTGCGCAAAAGCCCTCGCAACGACAGCAGCGACTGCAGCCTGGAGCGCCTGGGACACAGAAGATTCGCCATGAACGTCCACAGCACACAGGACAGTGACGCCGGAGACTATCACTGCACCGTCACACCCTGGATCCGCTCACCCGCCACCGGGATCTGGAGCAAAGAGCCGGACGTCTCCTCGCAGAGAGTGTTCCTCAACGTGAAGTTCGCATGTAAGTGGACTGAACAATTTCTAAGATGAGTAACAGAATTGCTAATGTAACACTCAGACAAAGTCATGCAAGTTTAACAGGTTTTTCTACACTAATGGGAGGCTGCCAGCATTTGACACTCACTCCCAGTCCCATGGCAATATTACATTCATCCGAAACGTATCAATGCATGTTGCAGCATGCATGTGGAATATTAAAACAGCTTGGTCGAGGAATTGTCCAGAAAAAGTTTAATTGTCATCCGTTTAGTCTTCAGTAAGTCTTTAATAAACCTAGGAGAAAAATATGAAGCTGTTTTCCGTACAACAATTCATAGTGAATCTTTTCAAGCGCCACAAAGGCCCCAAAACACCATAAACACTTCACTTTAGTCCATACAACATCTATCAAAGTTATGATATCTTGCTTTTATGATATATTCTTAATGTGCATGCAAAAGCTTTATTTATGAATGCATGCATGCAAACATTTAAATTAGGGCTGTCAGTTAAACACGTTATTAACGGCGTTAATGCAAACCCATTTTTATCGCACGATTAACAGTCTTTTTGGCCAAGCAAACTTTGTCATTTTTGTTCACATGCTTTTGCGACAGGACGCTATGGAAGCTTGTTTCCGCCACAGAATGAAAAATAAAAAAGTAATTGCGACTTTTTCTCACAATTCAGACTTTATTTCTCAGAATTGCGAGATATAAAGTCACAATTGTGAGATATAAAGTAAGAATTGCGAGATATAAAGTCACAATTGCGAGATATAAAGTAAGAATTGCGAGATATAAAGTCACAATTGTGAGATATAAAGTCACAATTGCGAGATATAAAGTAAGAATTGCGAGATATAAAGTCACAATTGCGTGTTATAAAGTCACAATTGTGAGATATAAAGTAAGAATTGCGAGATATAAAGTCACAATTGCGAGATATAAAGTCACAATTGTGAGATATAAAGTAAGAATTGCGAGATATAAAGTCACAATTGCGAGATATAAAGTCACAATTGCGAGATATAAAGTCACAATTGCTAGATATAAAGTCACAATTGCGTGTTATAAAGTCACAATTGTGAGATTTAAACTATTCTGAGGGGGAGGTCTTTTTTTCTTAGAATATTTTAATTTTCTTTTCTTAGAATTAGCCCTGTATCTCGCAATTGCGAGTTTATATAGAGTTTATACATAAACTCGCAATTATGTGTTATAAAGTCAGAATTGCGAGATGTAAACTCGCAATTGTGAGATAAAGTCACACTTCTGTCTTTTTTTCTCAGAATTGCGACTTTATATCACGCAATTTTTTTATTCATTTTTACTCAGTGGCAAAAACAAGCTTCAACAGGACGCGGCATGCGTGGCGCTGCGCTATGAAACCCATTAATTTCAATGGCTTGCGCTGCGCGAGGACCTATTGTTGCTTCGTCGACCAAAGCGCAAGTGGATCTAGCTAGACCGGAAACTAAACAACAGGCACACCACACACTCATTTGGGCTTGCGAGCCGGCCAAATAGTTGGTTAACGTTAAGTTTTGAGTGGATGACGAGCGCGAGACGCCGTAATGGATGCCAATAAGATTCTGAATTGAAAGTTTACTTTACTAAAAAGTTGCCAAATGGTCCCATTGACAAAACCAAAGTGATCTGTGTTTTTTGTCGTTTTGAACTGAGCTATCATCATCGCAGCACGTCCCGTCTGAAATATCACTTGATTGCCAAGCACACACACACACAGCTGATGATTTCAATATCATCAATATCAGGACCTCGTCAGTATTTCTTTAACCCTTTTATTGATGGATAGTGTTACATTGTGTGAGAGATTATTTGCTCCAAGTGAGAATGTTAGTGTGAAATTGAACACAGTATATGGCAACGCTGTTTTCAATAAAAAAACATTTGCACAAAGCAAGCCGATCCACTTTTACAGGTTGATGAGAGCATTAAAATGAGAAAAAAATAACGGGACAAAAAGAAATCAAGAGACATTTAGAATAGATACAAATTTGCGATTAATCGCGAGCTATGACATTAATCCGATTAATCGCGATTAAATATTTTAATCGTTTTGACAGCACTAATTTAAATTATTATAAATTATATTAAAATCATAGTCTAAATCATAACTAAGTCATCTTGTTTTTATAATTATTCTTTATGAATGCACGCTAACTTGTTTGTGTCCGTGTGCATATACTCAGTGTGGGACTCGATGAAGCTGCCTTTGCTGTATGGGATCTGTGCGTCAGTAACTGTGGGTGTCTTCTCTCTGGTCCTGGGCCTGGTCTGCGCTCACTGCTGCTGTAAAACAGCTACAGCTACTCCACGCTCTCGCAACAAACTCATGGAGCTGGAGATGGATTGACAAAGACAGTACAGTTGTCCTCTTCCGTCCTGGACGGCTTGGTGACAACTGATAAACGCTGGGACACATCCCGTCACATTATGCATCGCCTGGAGGGAGAAACTATAACTACTGAATCCGAGTCGACGACCATGGCGAATTACTCAAATATTGCACTAAACACATTCTTATATCAGCCGGGAACACTTTTGTTGGATTTATCAACAGTCTGCATTGAAACAAGAAGTGTTAAAGAAGACTTTTTTACACTCTGAGGACATACCTGCCAAGATCCGAGCAGATTTTGACAAATTGAAGGATTATATTACACTACATCAAGCTCCAAAGAGACTGTTTGCTTCCAGATCAGGGTTTAAAGATACTAGTTTATACCATGATTCTTCTGAATATGGTGCTACTCTCCTTCGGCAAGGCGTGGGAGGAGCTGAACCCATGTCACAATGGGAAAGACGATCTTTTATCTGTGATTTTGTGACGTTGTTCATTGTCGTACTGTGTGCATCATTCAGCTTTGATTACAACCCATCCAGCGTTGACCAGTTCTGACCAAACCATCCCTCTAACTAGCCAAACATGATCAACTGGTTAACTGTAATGCCATAGGGGTGGCCACACTACATTTTAAGACCTGAAAGAATTCGATTTATTGAAAGAGAAGTATTTTTTTAGATACAGGATGAATTCACAATGTTTAAATATACCTTTTCGCCTGTTTCCAGTGACAACACAACCCATCTGTTAAGCTAGCTAGCTAGCAACACTCTAGCAACCATCTAGAGCACCTTAGTAACTGTTTAGTAACACCTAAGGAACTGATTAGCAACTCTGCAGTGAACACTAAAAAAATGCTACCTAGCAACAGCCTAGAAAACACCCAAAGGATCATGACATCTGCATAGAAACGCCCTACACTGTAAAAAAAAAATATTGATGGTTTAACTTAAAAAAGTAAGTAACCTGGTTGCCTTAATTTTAAGTTCATTGAACTGGAAAAAGTGAGTTAATACAATGAAGGAGAATGATCTAATCATCAGAAACTCAAAATTATATGTTATCTGAACTCCCAGCAACAACAGCATTCTAGAAAACACCAAGAGCATCCTAGCAACTGCATAGAAACACCCTAGCAACTACCTACGACACTAAAAAACACTAAGAGCATCCTAGCAACTGCATAGAAACACCCTAGCAACTACCTACAACACTAAAACACACTAAGAGCATCCTAGCAACAGTCTGGAAACCACTTTGAACACCATAGCAACTGCTTAGATACACCCTAGCAACTACTTACAACATTCTACTGCAGCAAAGATCAAGGACATCCTAGAAACAGCTTAGAAACCTCTTTGGACAATGTAGCAACTGCATAAAAGTGCCCTAGCAATTCTACAAAACACTGAGCATTATAGCAACCAACTAGAACACCATAACAACTGCATGGTAACGCCCTAGCAACTATCAAAACAACCTATTGTAGCAAAGACCAAGAGCAAGCCAAGAAACCACTTTGACGCTTTGACACTTTGACTCGCCCTAGCAAATATACAAGACTTTGAGCATCATAGCAACCAACTAGAACACACCATGACAACTGCATAGAAACGCCCTAGCAACTACCAAAACAATTTACTGTAGCAAAGACCAAGAACAAGCCAAAAATACACTTTAAGCGCCATAACAACTGCCCGGAACACCATAGCAACTCCACAACATTGTAAACATCACAGCAACCACCTAGAACACCATAGCGACTGCATAGAAACACCCTATCAACTCTACAACACTCTGATCACCATAGCAACCACCCAGAACACCATAGCGACTGCATAGAAACACCCTATCAACTCTACAACATTCTGAGCACCATAGCAACCACCCAGAACACTATAGTGACTGCATAGAAACACCCTATCAACTCTACAACACTCTGAGCACCATAGCAACCACCCAGAACACCATAGCGACTGCATAGAAACACCCTATCAACTCTACAACACTTTGAGCACCATAGCAACCACCCAAAACACCATAGCGACTGCATAGAAACACCCTATCAACTCTACAACACTTTGAGCACCATAGCAACCACCCAGAACACCATAGTGACTGCATAGAAACACCCTATCAACTCTACAACACTCTGATCACCATAGCAACCACCCAGAACACCATCGCGACTGCAGAGAAACACCCTATCCACTCTACAACACTCTGAGCACCATAGCAACCACCCAAAACACCATAGTGACTGCATAGAAACACCCTATCAACTCTACAACACTTTGAGCACCATAGCAACCACCCAGAACACCATAGCGACTGCATAGAAACACCCGAGTAACTACATACTCCATCAGAACAAACCTAGTTTGTCTGTAACAACCTTTGTAAAGCTAGCCTCAAAGTTTCTCTTCCTGCAGTGTAAGTTCATGTCCTCTAAACTGATACTGATGTCAGAATGAGCGTTTGATGATCAGCCAGGAGGTGAGTCAGTGATGTTAATGTTCCTTATCACCCTGAAACTGAAAAGATAGAAGTCCTGACCTACGCACATTCTCACACAGCCCGTGTTTACAAGGGCAGAGGCGGCCTTTGCAGTTCAGAGTCTCGTTTCACAGAAACAATGGAAGGAAAAAAAAAGACATATGCAACGTGACTGCAATTTGACGGCTACATTAACAATATAACCCCATATTTCTCTCTTTATAGTCTATTTATAAACGCATTCTATCTCTTTAATCAGAACTATTGTCACAGTCATGACCGAAAACAAAAACACCATTCAATCTTCGTCCCTCGGCTGAAATCGATTGATACTAAAAGCGCTTAATTAAATACCCTTGTGTTAAAGAGTTAGTCATTAGTCAATCATTCAGTCAAACGATTTGTTCAAAGTGTGTGATTCATTCAGGGACAACGTAGACGTGAGCGAGTCGTCGAGTCATTAATTAGAACGATTCATCCAAAACGCTAACAATTCTTTCGGATGTTTTCGATACACACCTGCCTCATGTGTGTGCGGGTCTTATTGAGCACAAGTGAAGCGGCTGAAACAGTAAACGCCGTTACTGTACATGGGTGTGAATGTGTGGCCGCCCCTCGAGCTGGACAAATGTCGACTCATTGGCTGCTAGAGTCAATCAGAGGTCATGATTCGCTGGGCCTCGGGCCTGGTCTTGAAGCGCCGCTAACAGCTTGAGCAAGTAGAGCTGAAACTCAATGGCGTGCATTAAGGCCAAAAGACCCCAGAACAAGGACGCTTGTGTTCGGTGACGCCTCAAGGGCAACAGTCGGCCTGTTTCTGCTTTGTCTGCTTCTGAGGGCCTTTGTCTCCATTCCTGAACTAAAAAAGCCCCCACATGAAAGATAGTGGAGATTCATGGGTTTGTTCTCAATCTCTTTTCCTCAGTATTAAACTTCTACTGTTTAGTTAATTTAATCCTCTCAGACTTTATTTTCTAGATGATTTCAGTCTCAAGTGTGCTTGTTGGCTTTTGTAAACTTTATACTTTTTACGAAAATGAGGAAACCGTCCCTTTGACACTGTTAGAATGTTCACCGTTTAGAATACAGCGATGTCATCATGCAAACTGAACAGCGATTGGTCTTCGATCTTGAGTTTATTTGCATACTGAATTGTGATTGGTGAAAGACTGTTGAGTGGGTTATTGAATGAGTGATTAGTGGTGGGCACGATAGATAATAAGCATGTGAAATTAATACAGAGTTATTTTAGAAGGAACCGGATATGATGTCATGGTCCAGTGCTTTTGTTTTCAAAAAGTAATAAATTATCAATAATAATAAATTCAAAATGTTATAATATTCACTGCCTCATCTTGCGTACGTGTATAACTCATTATGATTAATAAGATTTTTAATGGTTTTATGATAAGTCTCTTCTGCTCACGAATGCTGCATTAATTTGATCAAAAACGGTAATATTATGAAAAACAGATGTTTTCTATGTGAATATATAATCAAAGCTGAATTTTCAGCATTATTACTCCAGTCTTCAGTGATGATCCTTCAGAAATCACTCTAATATGATGATCTGATGCTAAAGTAACATTTATGACTATTATCAATTTTGAACACAGTTGTGTTTATTCATTCTTCAATGAATAGAAAAGTTCTAAAGAACAGCATTTATTTGAAATAGAAATCTTTTGTAACATTACAAATCTGTCACATTTATTATTAAAATAATAATAATAATAATATTTTAAACTGTACTGTACAGCCAAAAACTAAAACAAACGTTTTGTACAATTATGTTGCTGCCTTGCAAATTTTGCTGTTTCTTTATGGAAATGCAAATGTAGTCTGCCATAGGCATCCACTTGCAAATTTATACATTTTATCCTTTCGCATGGGGTCATGTGCAGATAAATCTGAAATAGCACATTATTTATGATAATTGTGACATCTTGAAGGGATAGTTCACTTTGAAATGAATTTTTGATATGTTTTATCTTACCTCAAGGGCATCCAAGATGTAGGTGTCTTTGTTTCCGCAGTAGTTTAAATTTTTGTATTTTTAGGTCAAACCGTTCTTGTCTTTCAGTCATATAATGGAGGTCTATGGTCACCACCTCAAAGAGCATGCACAGAGAAGTCCAAATTAAACATGATTTAATGACTCGTGAATGCAAGTACACGTTGATGGCCTAAGACACGAAACGAGCGGTTTGTGTAAAACGAACAGTATTTTTATCGTTTTTACCTCTTGTTACCTAACTATAGCCACAAAGCACCCGCGCCCTCAGATCACTTGGATGTGGCTGAGAGGTAAAATCGTTTTCTCACACAAACCACTCGTTTTGTGTCTTAGGCCATCAACGTGTACTTGCATTCACGAGTCATTAAATCATGTTTAATTTGGACTTCTCTGTGCATGCTCTTTGAGGTGGTGACCATAGACCTCCATTATATGACTGACAGACAAGAACGGTTTGACCGAAAAATATCAAAATTGAAAATAGTGCGGAAACAAAGACACCTACATCTTGGATGCCCTTAATTTTTTTATTAAAAATAAATTTCAAAGTCAACTATCCCTTTAATGACCACACACGTCATTTGTGCAGAATTTTATATGACAGCGCCGTATATTTCTATGCATGTGTCAATAAGGTTTCGGCAAATGCATTGGAAGGAAATGTCTCTAATGCTTATTTTTGATGTTTTTCCACTGGCTGGGAAACTCTTCTGCTGTAATTGCTGCTGATTGGCTGTGTGGGACTGGAAATGCGTTCGTCAACTGTGTGACGGGCAATTTGTTCGCTCTGTGTTGCAGCATGTTCCACTTTCCTCTTCTTTTCTTTTTTTAGCAGCAGTCTGTCGCTCTTCTCGAATTCACTCTAATTTGACACTCTCACTTATATGTGCAGTTCTGCTCTTGAGGCAACCCTGAACCTCATGAAGAAAACAGCGCACGGCAACTGTAGAGCAATAGTTCATCATTTTACACCATGGAACAGTATTACAAATATGATCATAGTGCTAGAGAGAGAAAAAAAGCATTATTTTGGTGCATATCCAAAACAAAATGTTTTACTATGGCCCTATGTATAAAATAGTTGTACAGTACCAGGTATGTACTGTAATGTAATGATACAGTACCTGGGTAAAATATTAGGTGTCTTCATTTGATCTCTGATATACTGTGGCTAACTCATAAACATTGTTCTTTTTTCTAGTGGCTTGTAAAGTCTCTGGACGGAGTGGTGAAATACGGTCAGGAGTGTAATGAGAACATCACTCTCGGCTCCTCAGTGTAAATGTTAAACCGAAGACGAGGAATCCTTTGGGGTCTCGTCAACGTCATGGCAACATTATAAACCCACCACGGTGAGGAACTGAGCCTTTGCACAGATTTACACTCAAGTTCTTACAGCCACTGTGCCAACACATATTGTGCATGCCATGCTTATGAATATATTTGCATGATGTGCACATTTATTAAACGGTCAAAT